TGCACAGGTGGTCGAAGAGTGTGGCCATCAGTCGGTGACGATCACCGGCAGCGGTTCCCGTGTCTGCCATTAATGGTCGCAATCATTGGTCGCAAACGCTTACGGTTTGAGACATTAATGATTGCATGGATTAAATCACTTGTAATTAATATTAAACACACAATCCTATAGTTATAAACAGACTTTTAATTATAATTAATTCACTAATTAATTGCAATTATAATTAATTAAATGTTTAGTGTATTTGTGATAACGTGTGCAGTGTTTGAGTCAAACATTACATAACATATGATTCACAAAATCAATGAAAACATAAACAAACCCTTGTTTTGTCATTTTTATTATCGCCACAAATAACGTTACGTTAATAAATGGGGCGTTTGTTTGCAACCCTTAACTATTAAAAAGTAGATTAAAAACAATCTTGTTTAGAAAATTATAATTTTTAAACTAGCACATTGTGCGCAATTAATATCTAGATTATTTAAATAATTTATTATATAATTCAAATGAACATGGTGGTTAATCAGTAATAGAAACTATTCGCCCCCATCACACCCCTCCCCCATCAGTAGCGTAACGTTTATAGCGAACGCAATGTATTGACAACAGTATTGGCAATCATATGAGCGTTGAATGCAATGGTTTTCCTATGGATTCGCCGCTAAATCTGGTAATTATTTGTCCGCCATTTCATGAAATGATCACTCAATCTGATCCCATTATGTCTTGTGTCTAAATGTGTGTCCTATTATCACCGGATTAGGCCCATCGATGCCATCGTAAAGCCGAGTACTATCTCAATGATAATCGTTTCAAAGAGGCCGTCGAATACCATCTGAAAGCCGCCGGTCAGTCATCGGGAGCTCATCCGTGGCCAACACGTGTCTGGACAGGAGGGTGACGGCCATCGGGAGGTTGTGGTGACTCAGACACCACACCTCTTGATGGGTGGCATCAGATAGTGATTGTCATTATTATTGTTGTTGTTGTGGGTGTCGTTGCCGTGGGATGTGTTGCTCTCCCACACCAACCACTGATATGACAATTATCTGATGCCACGTGTCCTCCAGAAACGTGTCATATGTGTTGTTATACACTGTATATATCGGGAACTAATTGTAGTGATTGTCTCGTTTGAATTGTAGGTCACATACAGGAGGCGCTGTTGAGCACGACGTGTGCGCTGATGAAGGCGTCGCTGGAGACACAAAAAGCGTATCACTTATCGCAAGAAGCGGTTCTCAAACA